TAGTGTTGAATGGATGTGGAGTTTCAGTTTAGGAAGATCAAAAAAGTTCTGGAGATGGATGGTGGTGATGGTTAACACAACACTGGGAATGTCCTTCTTGTCACAGAATGTATGCTTTTACTGACTAGCACCCTCCCCACGGCCCTCCCCTTACCCCCCACCACGTTCTACTGCTCCCAGTTCTCAGAAGAACTCAACCTATAGCCATTCATGGAACATGTCAGCTTTCACACAGATCTTGGTACGGCCATGAGTTGTGGCCACCATGTCCTTCTCTCCTTCCTTCCCCTCACCCTCCTCCCACCCCACTCACCTGGCAAACCTCTTTCCTCTAGGTCTCAGCTTGCATGCCTGTCCTCCAGGAAGCCCTCTACAACGGGCTGCCTTCCCCAGGGGTTCCCAAACAATCCTGTGCTTTCCCTGTCATGGCTCGTAACACACTGAATTAAAATCACTGATTGGCTTGTCTTTGGAGAGCAAGATTCATGTCTTGCTCACCTTTGCATCTCCATCAGTGTCTGGCATGGAGTCAGCCTCAATAACTCTTTATTGAATTAAGAAATTTTGCACTAAGGAATAGCCTCATTTAAGAAATATTAGGACTGTAAGATACAGTTCTCTTCATAGATTTTAATATGTTACCCATGGTCTTTGACAAATCAAGTAGTCCCCAGAAAATAAGGTTATAGGAAACAGCAGATTATAAATGTAAGGCTACATAATATAATTAATGAAGATAGATATGTTTGTGTAGTTGACCCTACAGAGATATCATAATGGAAAACTCCTTCTGTTTCTAGAAACTAACAGATGTACAGGCTGCATTCTTTAACCATGATCCGCTACAAACAGAATAAAACAACAAAAACCAAATCTAGAAGTAAGAAAAACAAGTACGATTATAAATACAAAATGGGATATCAGAAGTACTGAGAGAAATTTTAAAACTGTGGTACTAATGCGTGTGGCTACATACTAATCTTTTGGCTGGTTTTCTGAAAAAAAATACATAATTCCAAAATTGACTCAAGAAAAATTAAAAAGCTATGGGACTGATAATGTAAGGAATACTTGTTGGCACTGTGTCCGTAGTATTTGACAGTGACGTCTTTCAAACTTATAAAAGAGATCTATTCTGACAATATAGAAAACTTGGAATCCTACTTAATTAATTTTGTTAAATATTAGTATCCTGTTATTAAAAGATGACCCAGATGGCTGAATAGAAGGAAAATAGAGATTTCTGGAATCTGTATCTTGTCTTCGCTTTGTCAGACTCTGGCTGATTCTTTTCACCTCATTTCTGATTTTCAGTGAATTCTCAGCTGGTTAGGGTTTCTCCAAGTCCTCCAGCCCTTCCAACTGGTCTTCCAGGAAATGCTTACTCATTTTCTCAGAGTCTCTTTGATTTTGTCACTCTTTGTCTCTCTGATTGTGGCACATTGGGTGGGAGGGTGTCCGAATTTTCTCGTCTGTGACGTCCATCACCCCCACCCAGCATTTTGCCAGCCTTTTCCCAGCACCCAGGCTAACAACCACATGTTCCCCTATCAAACCTAAGGGGCAATAAGACCGCAGGTCAACCCTGTGTGTTTCATAATTCACTCTATAGTCAATAAACTATGATGCAGAAAACAAATCCACTTCATACACCCATTTCACTTCTTCTTACTTATATAAATGGCTTTGAATTTGAGTCATTTAGATTTCCAGCAAATTTCAGTGACCTCATTTCATTTGTTAGAATAAGGGCATATTTAAAGCAAGGTAAGGTTTGCTTACAAAGAAAGCCGAGAAAGAAAAATGTCTAGAACTTTCTTTCACTGCGATCCAGACTAACTTAAAATATTATTCTGTATTCATTCTTGGCTGAGTTATACTGCAGAAATCCCAAAGTCTTCGTGGCCAACATAAGGGTTTATTTCTCTTAAGTCACAAGCCCTTTATGAGTTAGCCCCACGTTGTATTTATTCCAGGGGCCAGAATGAAGGAGAAGCCCCTATTTGGTGTAGGTGTTTTTGTGATAGAAGGGAAAAAGAAATGGCGGAACACAAGATGGCTTTGAGACTTCTCTTTGGACGTCCATCACTTTCATATATGACTTTCGCTGGCATTTAATTGGCCAAAGCCTGACATCAGTGGGCAGGGAAATAGAATCCTCTCACATGTTGGGGAAAGAAATAGTTGGACATAATAAAACCTATTACAGCCCATACTTTTGCACACCAATATTCATTTTCCTCCCTTCAGCCACAAAATATACTCCTCCCTCCCCAAGGGAAACACCCAAAAGTCCCATCCAATTACAACATATAAGACTCAAGATCTAGAATCTCATGATATACATTGAATCTGGGTGTGGCTCCTCCTGATTGGAGACTATATAACTAAAAAAAAAAAAAATCCCCCCACTCCCCCCACCACACTCAACATATAAAGGCAGAACAGACTCAGGCTAACCACCCCAAACAATCCTATCCAGAAAGGAAAAAAAAAAAAATGGAAGACAGATAGCAATCAAAGGGTGCTTGGAGCAGTTCTAAACTCTTGTTGAACAGACCTTGGAGTGAGGAATATTCCTTGATTAGACCCTAGTTCTGCTTCCTAGAAACTGCTCTTGAGTTCACTGCATGATTTCAATCAAGCATGGTTCCCAGCTTTGCCATCTGGGAGATCCATCCCTTTGCACTAGTCAACTAGTACTCATCTGATGAGGGCATTAGAGAATATGCCTTGCTTGGGGCCTTATTGTAGCTTATTCTCCTAATGGCTTGTGCCCATAAACGGTTGGGAGCCCAAAGATCATTTTAAGTTTTGAGCAGTCATAGAGTCTTTTAATTCCAGGCTGTTGGCACTTGCCCAGTAGAGCTCTCTCAAAACCTTAGTCATTTTTTTTTTAATCTATTTGATTTCAATTGTTTTCTGCTAATAGCCACATCCACAATTATTTTCAGACATAACTCTCTCTAAACTTAATAACCAGCTTCCTCAGAGAGTCACTTAACATATTCAGAAGTTTTAATAAGGAATGCTTAGATTTGTTTTGTCATTTATAGCATTTCTCAATTTTATCTCTTCCTAGTTGAAAACGAAAAACAATTGCTTCTTTCCATTCTGTAAGACCAGGAATTTCTGAGTCGTCTCTATTCCTGGCTTGCAAACCAACCAATTCTTTCCTGAACATATCTCTTTTTTTCCCCCTTTTAAAAAAAATTACGATAAAATTCACATATAACATTACATTAGCTTCATATGTATAAGATAATGATTCAATATTTATATATATTGCAAAATGATCATCACAATAAACTGAATTAACATCCATCCCCACACATAATTATGCACTGTTTTCCTTGTCATGAGAACTTTTAATGAGAAACCTACTCTTTTGGTTTCAACTATGCAACACAGTGTTATTAACTACAGTCACCATCCTGTATGTTGTATCCCCATGACATATTTATTTCATAACTGAAAGTGTGTACCTTCTGACCCCCTTCACCCATTTCACCCGCCGCCCACCCCCAAATCTGGAAACCAGCAGTCTGGTCTCTGTATCTATGAGTTCAGGGGTTTTTTGTTTGTTTTGTTGGTTGGTTTTAGATTCCATATATAAGTGAAATCATACAATATTTGTCTTTTTCTGTATAATTTCTTTCACTCCGAGCTCACCTCTTTCTTGCGGGACCCTGTCAGGTACAACCAGTTGCAACCATGCTGTTCCCCAAACTTCTTACCTAAAGCCACAGACTCATTCGACATATATCTGTCCTTCAAGTCCTCACAGGCAATGACTTACCAAAAATTGTGCTTCTGCATAACATACATGGGTCTTTATCTTTCCAGCCTCCAATAACATTTTTCTCATTTCCCACCACTTGGCCCTGGAACATCGTATTTTAGAAAGTTTGTTAGGGTAGCCTCTCACTTCCGTGTATTAATTTTTGTGTTATTGACTTAAACCAACTTAGCAAACAAGCCCGGAATCTTTATGGCTGATCACAACAGAGGACATTTCTTACCCACATTACTTTTCCTTTATGGGGTACCTGCAGGTCTTCTCCACTTTATCCTTTTTCTGGGGCCCAGCCAGAAGGAATACAGCCGACATGGGACATGCTGTTCTCATGGCGGAGGGGAAAGAGCACATGATCGAACCGCAGGATGACTCTTAAAGCTTTTCATTGGATGTGGCATATGTGACTTCTACTCACATTTCATTGGCCAAGGAAGTGATAGAACCAAACCTGACAGAAATGGAGTGGGAGAGTATAATCCTCTCCCTAGGACAGGAGGAACATACCTGGGGAAGCTACACTTGCCCTTTAGCTTCTCTTCCTCATAAACATGGCTTTGAACTTGCATTTTATCTTGTTAGAACAAGGTACATCTTTATTTTTAAGATTTATCTATTTATTTGAGAGAGAGTGGGGGAGGAGGGGCAGAGGGAGAGGGAGAAGCAGACCCTGTACTGAGCCCTGAGCCCAATGCGGGGCTCGATCTCACAACCCTGAAATCATGAGCTGAGCCGAAACCAAGAGTCACGCGCTCAACTGACTGAGCCACCCAGGCGCCCCAAACAAGGTACATATTTAAAGCAAGATGGGAATGGCTCCTTGGGAGCTGTATCATCTTTAGAGACATGTGCGTTGTCTGAAGGGTGACACAACTCCAAAGTCCGTGAGGTGTGCAGGGTGTGCGGAGGTGACAGCAGATGGCTGGGTGAGTAGGAAGCCAAACTAGCAGGTGGCATCTTTTTCTTCAGGACTCTCAGTTGAGGGGGATATGTTGCACTCGCTGTATTCCCACTAAGTCCCCTGCAAGTCCTCGAGTGTGCTTGGAGCTGAACGTGACAGACAAACTGCTCAGCTGCTATCCAGCAAAGCTGGGAGAAGCTCCTGGAGAGGAGTTTTTGGGGTGTTAGGGCCATGGGTCATGCCCCAGGCTGACTTCTCACCCCCGTGTGCCCGAGACCATCTGACTCCTCTTTCTCTTCACAGTTTGACATGCAGAGGATAACTCTGGAGGAGTTGAAGCATATCCTCTACCACGCCTTCCGGGACCATTTAACGATGAAGGACATTGAGAACATCATCATCAATGAGGAGGAGAGCCTGCAGGAGACGTCGGAGAACTGCCAAACAGAGTTTGAAGGAGGTAGGTACCCCTGCTTCTGCTTTCTACCTGCTCTGGGCTCAGCGCATGCCTCCACATCCTCTGTAGATGGAAAATGTGTTTACAGTTGGGGCTGGGATGCCTTGTACTGAAGCCAAGAATCCAGGACCCAGGTTACAAGATCCTCGCTGCAAAAATGCGGCAGTTTATTTATTTCCTTTTTGTTTTTTTCCCCAAACTCTGCATTTTTGCAGGACCTCTAGTGACCCTGTCTTTCCTCCAGTGATCCTCTGAGGTCTGTGATTAGATATGCAGCTTTGTGGTGTTTGCCTTTCCTCCCTGGGGGCCACGTGGAGTGGTACCCACGGCCTGTTTGGGCTGGTGGCAAACTTGGATCCAGTCCAGTGCTTAACTGTGTGACCTTGGCCACCAGGTGTGCCTTCTCTGAGGGTGCATCCTTGCCTAGAAACATCAGGTTAATTACACCTACCTCTCAGGACCCTGAGGTATGGTTTACCTCTGTGCTCTACTCCCTGAGGGTGCTGCTCAGAAAGAGCCCCCTTCATGAAAGGACTCTCGTGAACTTAACCATGGAGTTTCAGAAGAAATAAGGTTTTCCTGGGGCCAAAATATAGACCCATATAGAGGCCATTTTGGGGGGCTCATGAAAGAAAACTTAAGAAAAAAAAACCCCCACCTACCGGATCCCCTAATTAGTAGAAAGTTCCAGGTAAGCTAAATAATTGAATCCCTCTTTCCAACTTTGAAAATCAGAACTACTATAACAACGCTGGTGCATCGGGGAAAAAAAAATGTTTAATTACATTAAAACAGGATATCAGGCTACCAGCAATTTTTCACTTGTTCAGTGCTGAGATTTCTTAAAGAGGTCAAACTATTATTTTCCATTCTTTTTTTATGAACACTTAAAGAAATCAGTGTACACAGTGGGTAAGCTCTCATGTGGCCACCAGAATAGATACGGCTGCCTGGTCTTTGGAGCTGCCACGTTCAAGCCGGCAGAGCCCTGTGGCAGGGAGTCTACTCGGGGCGAGGTTAGTCTAGGTGGCCACAGTGGATCATTCAGACCTGCACGCCCACGGGTCCTGTCTGGGCTGCATCGTGTGCAGGATTAAGGGCCATGACAAGAGGAAATGGGAAGGGATGCTCATACTCCGAGGCGATAAATGAAATTAACTCAAGCCTGGGAAATAGGGAGTAGTGGGTGGGAACGGCCGTAAACCTGGAGAGCAATGCCCCTTCTAAACTCATTCAAATTTAAATTTTTCAAAAAATGCTGTGAATGGCAAACGTAACCCAGTGGTTGTACAGAGGCTGCCTTGCTTGGCTTCAGTGTGACCCCGGGGCTGTAGCATCAGTGGCTGTATTTGGAGTTGCACACCCAGAGCGGGATGGTCACAGCCAAGGCCATTTGCAGAAGTGGGGAGGGGGGACCCTGGGAGGGTTAGTGGAGGGAGGGAGGCAGAGATGGGAGAAAACTTGGATCTTGGATAAGTTTTCCTTGGTCTCCCCCATCGGTCTCGTTCCTTCCTGTTCAAACAATGGAAGCACCTGGGGGGTCCAGCCCCCCACTGTCAGCAAACACTCTTGAGATGGGTGGGAAGAGTATTTCTGGGCATTTTGTTTTCCACAGGAGCCTTCGTCTGTGGATCACTGTTTTGTTCAGAGAAATGTCACAAGTCTTAGTAATTTGGGAAAGGTCAGACTGTGCACAGGGAAGTAATCTGAACTCTAAGCAATGTCTTTTTATTATTCAAGAGCTCATACATTAATAAAGTAAGTGACTGAGAAAGGGATTTTTCCAAATAGAAGTCTTACGGAGTCTGCTTTCATTGATTCAGACTTATATAACATTGGCAACAGCTACCATTTGGGGGATGGGGGTAATTGATAAGTTCCAGACTTATAACATTGGCAACAGCTACCATTTGGGGGTAATTGATAAGTTCCAGTCACTGTACTAAATGCCTTAAACTTTGTGGTCTTATTTAAGAAAAGAAACATTGCGGGCGCCTGGGTGGCTCAGATGGTTGAGCGTCTGCCTTCGGCTCAGGTCATGATCCCAGGGTCCTGGGATCGAGTCCCGCATCGGGCTCCCTGCTCCTTGGGAGCCTGCTTCTCCCTCTGCCTCTCTCTCTCTCTCTCTGTCTTTCATGAATAAATAAATAACATCTTTAAAAAAAAATAAGAAAAGAAACATTGCTTTATAATTAGTAGATTGCTTCTTTGAATGACCTCTGCAACCTTGATTACATAATCCATTTGCTTGTTTTCACATCAGAGAGTTGGTTTTCTTGGTGTGTTTTGTATTTTAAATATTATGTCATTGCTGTTTGGCCCCAGATGCAAGCTCATTGCTTTGTGAGGTTTAAGATTTTTCCAATCTCGGATAGGATCAGAGTCACTGGTGGATATATTTAATGCCCACAGCCCTCTCCTTGTTCAAGAAGGGGCTTCCCTGATTGTATTTTTGGGCAGAGTTATCTAGGAAGAGATGCCACACAGGCACTGAGGCCCCACCCCCCCCCCCCCCATGCCCTAGAAGAATGCATTTGAGACTCAGTGGCTGACCTTGACCTTCCCGCCCAGGGAGCTCCTCCCTCCTTCTCTTGTTAAAACTTTGCTGCAGCAAGAAACAAACAAACAAAACAAAACAACTTTGCTGCAGCAAGTGTGTACCCAAAGCCGGGAAATCCATGGAGACTGGGAGTCTTGCCCTCCTTACGTCAGAGGAAGACATCAATGAGAAAGAAAAAAACCTAGAAGTGTAGGTCTTTGCCTTAAAAGATGAAAGGGCACATCTATCTCTGAGCAAGGAAGAAGGAGCTGGTCAATGAAACTGATGTTGTGTTGGGGCGCCTGGGTGGCTCAGGTGGTTAAGCGTCTGCCTTCGGCTCAGGTCATGATCCCAGGGTCCTGGGATCGAGCCCCTCATCGGGCTCCCTGCTCAGCAGAGGGTCTGCTTCTCCCTCTCCCTCTGCTGCTCCCCCTGCTTATGCTCTCTCTCCCTGTCAAATAAATAAATAAAATCTTAAAAAAAAAAAAAAAAGAAAGAAAAAGAAACTGATATTGTGTGGCAGAGGGAGAATTTAGTCAAATAGCTCAGAGCACAGCAAGGTTGGATTCTGGAGTGTGGCACAGCTTTGGAAATGCGGATTTGCACAATCTGTGTGACGCAGAGCCAGTTAGACATTAACAGGAGACCTTCCACGTGCCACCAGCGTCATTTTACTTCAGTGATTATACTTTTCCCTTTTATAGATCTTGGGTCTGAGACTTGTACAGAGGTGTTCCGTTTCTGTCCACTGAGTCAGGACACAAACATCCTTCTTTCCATATGAGTGGAAACATAAAGGAGAAATAGGCCAGGAGCTCAAGGGGTTGTGGCCCCCGTGATGGCAGAGGTTTCTGGATTTCTTTTTCTCCTTTTAGTTTTCCTTTTGGCTTGATGTTGTTGTCTTTATTCGTTTAAGGTTTAGGCCAACACAGACCACAGATATATGCATGAACACACACACACACACCGGCCCCTGACACATTCTAATCTGCCTTATCTTTATGGAAGACAGGGCTCTGTGACCATAATGAAGCAGGAATTTTTCCATCTTCTCCCAGGGGAAGGACAAGAGGCAACAGGATGAGACTCCAAGCTACATAGAAGGAAAGGTTTCCTGACTTCTTCAGGAAACTCTGAGATGGGGGTTCATGTCACGTGTAGAACCCATTTTCCTGGAGCACCAAAAGAACTCATTTACAGAAACCCTTATTAAGGCAGGGAAGAGACTAGAAGAATCTAATTCAAGGGCTCTGAAGGAGACCTTACCTTTATTCACACCTGGCTTCTGGATGAGAAGTTACTCAGATTGAGTCAGGCACCTGACCGGCTGTCACCTACCGTGCCGGGTGCTCTGGGCATGAGGTCGTTGTACAGCACTGAAGTCAGGGGCTCTCTGGCATAACCTCTGGCATAACCCACAAGCCCACAGCCTATAGGGCCCGGATCCCATGAGAATACTCAGTATGACAGCCCTCCCAACCCCTCTGATCTTTTTGCATTCCCTTATTCAGATAAATTATGCTCAGCGTTCTGAGGTGTCAGTTTTCACTGTTTGTGCTCTAACCATTTGGAAAAATAAATAGGTCAGCATCTACCCAAATGGGTTAGATACAAAAGTATGTGACCCCCCCACAATGCGCACTCACTATCTATGCTATGGAAGAGTTTTAAGACATTTTGCTTCTGTTTCACCCCTTACAATCACCAGACATTTAGCTTTTGGGGAACATAAGCTCAGTGACACTGAGAGACACATTCATATTTCATTATTTGGTTCCAGTTGCTGACATATGTGAAACTGAGTGGTCTTGTGGTTGAATCATCTATTTGCCTGTCACCGGCTCCTTATTACGGGTTCGCGTAACAAATTCTACTATATATTAAGTTAATTTACTGCCTCCAATATGTTTACTGCTTAATTCATATTGATACAGTCCAGGAGGTAAAGGGACAGGGGGAAACTGCCCAGCATGCCGGCCAGGTGCTGGTCATTTGTTAACATGTGCAACTGACCTGCAAGATTAGTTCTGCGACCCCACTGGTCCAGATGAGGAAAGTGAGGCTCAGCAGAGTGGTGTCCTTTGTCCAAAGTCAAATCACGGGTAGGGATTTGGACCCGGGGCTCTCTGACACAGCCCTGCCCTGGCCTCTTCATTTGTTCTTCTGGGTCCTTCAGCCAGACGTAGGCATTTCGGACTCCTTACAGAATGGCACTCCGTCATTACTCATTTTCCATTTCATCGCCAGTGAAATCATATTATATTTGGAAGTTGAGTAGAAGCGCAGCAAGACTGTGTGCGAGCCCTTTCAAGACACATCCCCCAAATGTTGTCCCTAAATGGAATACCAGCTGTCAGATTTTTCTAGACATTCTGACAACACGCACGACAGAAGGAAGTAAAGCAAAATCATCAACGGAAGATAGTTTCTATGAAAGGCATGGCAGAACAGCTCTGCACCGTTA